TCTGACAAATTTATGAAAAGCATTTTCCAGAAAAGCGACAGCTGTACCTGGGCCCTGTGTAACCTCTTCAGTTCTTCTTGCTTGGCTTGACGACGAGCAGCCTTTTGTACTCGCCTGGTCAGTTTGGCGTTGAGTTCCTCCTCCGTGTAGGCTTTCTGCAGCAACAAGAAATAAAACATAGTTCAATCCCTTGCTGAAAATTGTCCCTAGTTTCTGGGATTGAAGCGTTCTACTTTTCTAGAGCACTGTGCCACTTGCTATGCTTTCTGTTCAGCAAGCAAGTTGTCCTTCCAGGTGTGTGTGTGCTAATGGTGCAGCAGATAAGCTTTGGTGGGGTTCTAAGAGGGGAAGGAAGAGGCTTGAACCAGATGCAAAGCAGTGATTTTTACAGACAGCTTCAAGTTATGACTATCTTCTTAATGGTCCTTAGGGCCTGTCACATACCTGGGAGATGCTCTTGATTTCATCCATGTTCTTACCATATATAAAATCCTATGTATTATTTCTTATACCTCTGTTGAACAAACATGTAAAGAACTGAGCTAAATGTCTAGGGAGATTCTCAATCATCCAAGTCATGGTTGTCCCAGAGGTGCTTTTTTCATGAGGCAACTGGACTGTCTTGTTTTTCTCTGAAGACGTTTTGCTTCTCCTCCAGAACTGAAGAAGCCTTTTGGATGAGAAGCGAAACATCTTAGAAAAAGAAAAACAAGAAAGTCCAGTTGCCTCGTGAAAAAAGCACCTTTGGGACAACTGAGCTAAATATATCGGAGCAAAGTATGGTAAATGACCAAGAGCCTTTTTGATGCTGTTGCTAAGACTTTAGTCTGCAACTCAATTCACATTTCAAAAACCCTTTGAATGACCCAACTTGCACAATCAGCATAAGGAGAGATGTAATCAGCAGCACCCATTATGTATTTTGTGATTCACTTGGAAACCATACCGCAGGAAAAGGACTGATTTCTCCCTAATAGTTATTTAAAACAAATCAACCTCCAACGTAGCAGAAGGGTAGGCTAGAAATTGAAGTCCTTGGTGCTCTCTGAGCTTGGTTGTTTTCTTGCAGATGTGTCACTACCCAAACTAGGTAACATCAGGGAGCACCAAGGACCCCTCAGTTCAACCCTAAGCTGCAAATATTCTCCTTTATTAGAAAAGTTTTGCCTATCAGGTCAATATTTCAGGGAAAATTACATGTCAATAAAAATATAATGGGATCACATTAATGATAGTCTTAAAAGATACACTAGCAGTAGCTGCATTACACTTTAGCTATATATTTTTGATATAAATTGTCCTATAATGCTATGATTCATTTTATTTTTTTTAAATAAGTAATCCAGCGTCTAAAACATGTCATCTAAGTGATTAATGCACATAGTTACTTTCAAGGTAGTTATGTGACTTGTATAATTCCTTTTGCAGTTAAAAATTCCTATGTGTCTAATAAAAATATATCCATGTAATATGCTTTATAACCATCTATTGCATCTCCTTTTATATTAAGAGAGCAGAACTTCATTTTTATGTAGCTAAAGACTGTTTTCATGTTTCCCACATTTTCACCTCATTTTAAAAAATCAATTGAGATAGATCATTGTAGCTGAATGCCTCAACAGATAAGATGAAGGAAGAGAAGGCATACCATCAAAGTCACCACCAGAGTTCATTAGAGCTAAAAAGATGTCATACAAGAAATCTCTTCAGTGTCCCTTTAAGTTAGTCTTCTCCAACTAGGATCAGAGAAGATCAGAATTTGGGGAGCTCCAATTACAATACATTTGGAGCTTGATAAAAGCTGCTTTAAGCCTTCTTCTACTACATTAGTCTGATAATCAGTTCCAATAGTTAAATTAATACCTTGCAGAGAATGTATAGCTCATGTAATTGGCATTAGGTAAACAAATGAATGAACTGCTTATTTCATTTTTTCCCTTCACGACTCAAACCTACAAACCATAATTGCTTCTTATGTACCCATAGGCCAAGATCTATGCTTCTTAAAAGTCTTTCTTACCCACACAAGGATACAGTGGATACTCATCAATCAAGACTCAACATAACACAGTGATTGGGCTGCAAGATTAAGATCATGAAGTTCCAAAGACAAATCCCTGGTTGACTCTGAACCCATTCTTTTTTCTCTGTTTAACCTACATCTGAAGAGTTGTGAGAATAAAATGGAGGTAGAATCTATAATATGTGGTAGTATTTCTATCAAACCCTCTTTTAGGTACAGTGCAAATATCTAACCCACCAAGGTAAACACTTTGTAGAGTGCCTCAAAAAACTGTGATTAAGGTCAACAGTTTTTCCAGCTGGATCTTCAGTGAAGATATTATATACACTTCAAATGGACTTGATGGTTTGGGACTTGAAGATGATCTGTTGTGTTGATGTTGTTAATTGCTGCATACATGCACAATCTCTGATTGTATTAGTATAAATGAAGGCAGGGAAAAGCAGAAGAGATACAGGCTATGGAGCTGGTAGGTTAATAACAGGAATGCATGCAACAATGGCCAGTCAATGAGAATGGAAACACTACCTTTGATGCATAGGATCTCTTGAATGCCAAGGCGTGTGGTATGTAAATCAACTTTAAAAAAGGGGGAGGGAGGGGAAGGAATAGCAAAGGCAAAAATAAAAGAAATACATAAAATGGAGCAAGATCAGTTCAACATTGCAACATTCAATACAGAAAGACAATAATCAACAAAAAAAGCTGCTTGAAATGTTACATGAAACTACAGAATACAAATACTTCAAAATCTGGAAATATGCAATGGAAGCATATAGCTTTACAAAAAAATAAAGTAAAATAAAATAAAATAATCTTGGGGTCCCAAACCTCAGAGCAATCTCTTCCCTAAGCCCCAATCAGTGTTAGATTTTAAGGGCTTGGGATATTGAATTTTGGATTTAACACTTTATTTGGGTAAGTACACTAAAACACTGACAGGACTGCACAAAACACAAAATGATGTCTTATTCTGAATGCGTGCCCTTCAATACTTTTAGCAGCACATTCACTTTTTCTGAAACAAACACAAACACGTGAACAGGGAAGTGAGAAAGGTTGGGTGAGTTTTAGATAAAATTCCTGCATTTAGAAAAAAGGAAACATATCTGCAACTACATGACTTAAATGTTTTATGACAGCAGCACATACGTAGTCTGATGAAAACTGATTCGGGAATACACGCTACAGGAAGTGATATATTTATTTAGCAGATGCTTTCAACATTATACATCAGATCCCATGTCTCCTCCAATGCTAGTCACTAATGTTATTTTAGTCACCACAAAACAGGCAGCTGAGCCTTGATCTAGAAGCCATGCATGAGTAACTTTTTCTGCCTGGAAAATCATACTGATTGCTTTGTTTCCCTGGCATGACAATGTTCTCTAGAAACTTGAGAGTTGGAATAAAAATTTAGCCTGAACTAATTTACAATTAACAATACAATTTACAATTAATCAGTGAAACAGCTTGCCTTCAGAAATCGTGGGCACTCCATCACTGGAGTTTTTTAAGAAGAGACTGGACAGTCACTTGTCTGAGATAGTATAGGTTCTCCTGCTTGAGTGGGGGGCTGGACTAGAAGACCTCCAAGGTCCCTCCCAGCTCTGTTGTACTGTTTGTACTGTTCTGTACCTTGTTTATAGATATCATTCTCTGTGTTCTCATGTAACATTCTTAAGAATTGGATTTTTATTTTTGTACTGTTCCGTACCTGGTCATATCTAGTATGTTTCCTTTCTAGGAATATCTCTGTAGTGATTTCACACTACAGGATATCTTCCTGTTAATCTTGTGTCTTCATCACTTAGAAAAACAATTATTTTTGCAGTTAGGGTCTCCCACTAAGACAGGGGTGGGCAATTATGGCCCCTTTACCCATGGCTGACTCAGAAATTTTGGGAGTTGAAAACCACAGATCAAAAAGGGGCCATAGTTGCCCACCCCTGCACTAAGATATAAACACACTCAGTCTGCCTTAGACCAAAGCTCTGTGTAAGATTTATGTAACCTTCTTGTTCTTGCTTTTTAATCTTCAGTGAGCGACTTTCAGTTTCCTTCCAAATCACACACCCCATGATTCAAGAACAAACATGTAAAACTGCATTATCCACTCATCTATTCCACATAGTTAAAGTTAAAATATCCCATGTCACCTTGCCACTATTATGAAAAATGTCACCCAAGGAGAGGGGTACAGCAAAAGCTCTTTGACAATTATATTTAAAGTAGGATTTAAACCATCTGTTGTTATTTTCAGCCTGATCCTTTAACTACTCTAGGAAATGCCCCTAAATGTACTCTTATTAAAACACTTAGAGTGGATTAGCTAATCTATGGGAAATTTAACTCTTATTCCTAACAAAGGAAGATTTCCTAACTCCCACTTTCAATTTAAATCTTAATACTGTAATTCCTAGCTTCATTGCTCTTTTAGGGATTATAAACATCTGCAATATCTCTATGTTATGCAAAATAGCAAACCAAAACAAAATATTCACTTTGTTTTTTAAGGAGGAACTTGTTCTCTCTGTTACACTTAGGCCCAAACTGCCTCAAGTAGCAAGGTTTAGATTTCAAGATGAATGATTACATTGGAACTCATAGGAAGCTATAATCTTTATCCCTTTCCAATATCATAAGTATATCCTTTTTCTTTTTAAATTCCCATGTGTAATGTAGAGCCTGCCATGGAAAGCTAGAAGAAAAACATAAAAGTGGTAGATTTTAAAAAATCAAATAAAAAGAGCAATTCAAAAAGAATGGTTACAGAGAAGTTAATCCAGGAGAAAAATTCAGGCACTGAACACTATTCTCCACCCCACCAGAATTGCCTTAAGCTATCCTGGATAAAAGCAAGTCTGCTAGCAAGCTCAGTCATAAGTAGGCTTGAGTAGCAAAAAGAACTACATGCAAATAGTTCAGTTTGCAAATAAACCCAATCTGCTATTTCCATCAAGAACTTTGTTCTTGCACAATTACCAAAGTGGGTAGTTACTGCTTTCTCAATTCAAAGTTGACTATTAGTGATTACAGGAATATTTCCACTAAGTTTTACTGAGCAACAATATAGATATAGTTTGCCATTGTCAAACTTTGCTAAAAAATGAAAGTGTATTATATATGATTATTAAAAAAAAACCTGGCTAATTCCTATGGTTATTGCATAATTTAGAAAAGGAATACTCTTTGTACATATTGCCTTTTTGGCAATGTAACTAAACATCTTTTCCCCTCCTATTAAAATAACTTCTGGAGTAGCTAGCTGCCTAAACTCACATAGAATTCAGGACCGCGCAAGATTCCAAGATTACATGTAGTCCTGGACTTACAACCATTTGTTTAGTGACTGTTTGAAGTTACAACAGCACTGAAAACAGTAACTGACAACTAGTTCTGGCAGTTACAAACACTGCAGCATCTCCACAGTCACATGATCAGAATTTGGCCAATTGGCAACTGGCATATATTTATCACAGTTGCAGCATCTCGGGGTCATGTGATCACCATTTGTGACTTTCCGAGCTGGCTTCCAACAAGTGAAATAAGTGGGGGGAAGTTGTGTTTACTTAAGGATCACATGATTTGCTTAGCGACTTCTGTGATTTGCTTAACAATTGAGCCAATAAAGACTGTAAAATTGGGTGTTACTCACTTAACAACTTCCTTGCTTAGTAATAGACATTCTAGTTCCAATTGTGGCTGCAATCTGAGGACTGCTTCCTCAACTTAGTTTCAAACAGACTTATGAATCTTTTGAACAGAAACAAACCTTTTATATATAACTTACGAAGCCTGGTCTAATTAATTTTTCTCATTCTTATTGGATCCAGAGATCCAAAATCGCAGGAAAACATTCAAATGACCCCCATGTCAATCTTTGTGAAGTTTTTGTGACTCATCTTGGCTTCAAATGATCATGACAGTATCAACCTACCTCTCGTTTAGATCTCTGTGAGGAACGTTCTAAGACATCTTCATTGGAGAGATCAGAATCCTCCGAGAAGCTTAAGTGTTGGCGCAGTTGCAAATCTGAGACAATAAGGAAATGTGTCAAATGGCTAAACTTAAGGAGCAGTTGCATCGTAGTAAAATTGATAATGAACTAAGTGATCAGACACACAGTTATTGTTGAAAAGGGACCATATCATCCCTTCCTGCCACAGTGATTCAACTCCGCCTTTACTAACCACATCTCAGGTCCCAGTCAATGGAGGCTGCTCTAGAAGCAAGGATACCCTCTTTCCCCAACACAACAACCAAACTTTTTTGCCTTGCAATGACTCCCAGAATCTCCCTGGGCAGTGTAGTTGAAGCTGGAGATAAATGATCTGCAGTCAACTATTTCTAAAAATCTGAGGTACTGCCTATCCCCTGTAACATCTGCTCATCCTACGCAGTCCAAGAAAGTCAGCCCATTCTAGATCCTAGTGATTAAACGATGCTGTCTAATGGGTTCCAGGAAGTTGGGTTTCTCAACACCATTCCCCATCCCCCCCCCCCGAGATTCATATTCATTCCCCCCAATCAGGCCCTAAACTGACTCATTCTCCAGGTCTTGGGTTAGAATTGGTGGTGGATCCCTTCTGTGATGTTTTATTTTTTAAATGATGGTTGTTTTTTTCTGGACCAGAATTGGGTGTCTTAACAGATTGGGATCCCTATAAATGTCATAAATAAATAAATGCATAGATACGAGAAGACAGAGTACCAGACAAGAATTAGGCAGACAATCTTCAACTTTCCATCAGTTCACTGGTGACACTGGGTGAATCACTATCCTTCAGTCTAATCTAGCTAAAGTTACATACAGAACTCTCCAATATCTGGCAGAAAAGCTAAAGATACCTGATGCTTTTTAAAAAGACTGTATATTCTTATTCTAAGTATGTTCTCTCATATTTAATCTTCCTTTTCAGTTACCATTGAAAGGGGTACAGTAAACTGACCTGCTGGAACAAATCTTAGGATGTGCACATACCTGGAAGAGTTTCCAGGTATGGTAAAACCATTATAATATATAAGCACTGATATTATACCTGCTGCTCTAACCAATGGAGATGCTTTATGCTTCCCAGAATCCACTGTGGTCCCGCTGGAAGGTGTGCTAGGGCAAGATTTGTCATCTGCCTTTTTCTTCTTGTCTTTCTTGTAACCGGAGAAAACAGACTTCCAAAGGGATTTGGGCTTTGTGGATTCCTCAGCTGCGCTGCTGGATTTGTCAGATTGCTTATTTTCATTCTTTGACTTTTTCTCCTTTTTGCTCTTCCGGGGAGAGAAGAGAGAAGTCCTTTTTTTATTCTTCCCGCTGGAACCTTCTGATGATGTGATAGACCCATCGTGACCGCTAATGTCCGTTAATGGTGGAAAGAACCTCTCACTAGTAGCTTCATGCTTCAGAGTAGGGCCTTCGCTGGTTTTGCCAGTCAGATGCTTTGGGGTGTCTAAAGTAAGTTCTTTGGTCTTTGAGGGTGCTGTGGATGCTTTGCGTGATTTTGCAGCAACAGCACTGCTGGTCATCTCCAGATCTTTCATCCTGCTGAGCTGCTTAGCCATAGCGTCCCGTAAGGCCTGGCTTTTGATAGACTTCTCTCTGGCCCTCATTCTTTCCTCAGCTAACTCCTTAGCTTCTGCAGAGACTTGAGGAAGGCCTCTCTTCCCTCCTTCAGTTGACGACGGTCTATCATTTTCCTTAACCAAATGCAGTTGAAGAGGCTTCTCAGGCCTTGGCTTGCTAGGCGGAGTGTAGTATTTTTCATTAAGGCTTGTATCCTCTGTTCTGTCATCATAAGTGTCCTCTACATCATCAGCAAATGGTATCTCATCCACACTCTCAACAAATGACTTCCTCACCTCTTCTCTGGGTGGTTGAGATGAACTTCTGGTGGGTCGTATCCTTTCATTTGCTGGTATCATCTGAGGGGTTTGTACGGGCTCTGCTTCATTCTGCCAAACTGCCTGATGCCGTTTTCTTCGCAGGGTTGCTGGTTCTTCGTTTTGAGGTGGTGGCGGAGGAGGGCTAGATGGAGGAGTGAGCATGGTGGAATCCGATGTGTTAAAACTCTGGCTGGCCAGTGTCCTCATGTTGGATGAACTACCCTGAAGTCCCAGTCCAGAACTGCTGGAGAGATCTCTTTTCACATCCCTTGAGTTTTTCAGCTCTTTCTCTGATTGGGAGGTTGGTGTCAGCAAAGAAAATGGTTCCTTATCCAACTTTGGTATGATTACCTTTGATGGTTTTACAGGATGGATTTCCTTTTCTTCTGACCCCACATCAGAATTATACAATTTAAGAGGAACAGATTCAAGGGGTGAGTAAGTAAAGTTTGGGTCTGAACCCCTGCTTCTGTTGACAGGGGTGAGACCTAAACTCCTTCGGATTTCAGCACTTTTCATCCAGAATTCCTCCACAAGGTTATTTCTTTTCAAAGTCTCTTCTGTGCTGGTGGGACTTTCAAGTTTTTCCATCTCCCCATCTTTACTTTGTAGAGCAAGTTTGGCCAAAGGAGTAGAAGTAAAAGCTGGGATAGGCTGAAAGCACACTGGTGGCTCTGCTGGAGGTGTAATGGAGGCTTCAGTGGTGGGTAAAGGCTGTGAACAAATAGGTAAGGGGGCAAGAGGTGGAGAAACTGATTCTACGGGTACTGTTGATGGTGATTTTACAGGTGATATTGGTGTGATGGCTTCAGGCAGTGCAACTGGCTGTGACCGTATTGGTGAAATTGATGCTGGTGGACTTTGCACTTTTTGATCATCAAGGATCGTGTCTTCTTTTTCTTTTTCCGGGAGGAAAGGCTCAGAGAAAAAATGGACATCCGAAGCCTTTTCTCTGTATGATACTGGTATAAGAGATTCCTATAAACATGATAAAATCAGTGCATAGTTAGTGGTCTAAAGCATCTTTCATTAAGTTCTAAAACAGGGAACTTGTGGACTTTAACTCTAAGAATTCCTGGCTGGCTAAGGAATTCTGGGAGTTGAAGTCCATAAGTCATAAAGTTGCCACATTTGGAGATCCCTGTTCTAGAATAATGCCTTCCTATTCCTTCCTGATAATATTTCCTCATCAGTACATCTACAGAACAGTGCCTACAGTTTTGTCGCAGTACCCCAGTATATTACTACTGGATTCTGGGGAGATATTCCAGGTTGTACCAAGACTACTTCTTGCTATACTTGAAGTCAACACTATTATTCAAAATTGCCCTGATTAGTGTACATTACTCAGAAGATGAATAGTAGTTGGCCAAGCTATTTTTCAACTATTCCATTACTGGCCATCTTACTGGGGGGACTCTCGACAAATTTTCAAGGAACACAATAGCATATGTCAGTGGTTCTCAACATTTTTAATGCCGCAACCCCAACTGGTCATAAGTCGAGGACTAAACCAGTCGTAAGTCGAGGACTACCCAACCGGTCGTAAGTCGAGGACTTTCCTTGCCCGGGAGAACCGCGCATGCGTGGTTCCGCCCCCTGTGCCGGCCAAGGCATAGCTGGCAAGCGGCAGAGACGGAGCAGGCCGACCACCAGCTGGCCCAGCCCAAGGGAGGTAAGGCACCCGCCGGAAAAGGGAAAAAAAATGGCGGACAAAAAAAAATGGACAAAAAAAAGGCGGACAGCCTTGCTTGGTGACCCCCGTGAAATGGTCGATCGACCCCAAATGGGGTCCCGACCCACAGGTTGAGAACCACTGGCATATGTGGTTACAATATAAAATGTATTGTTCCAGAGAATTCCACACCTGTTCAGACAATCAAAATACAGAAATGAGAATGCAAGTCTGTAAGAATAGAACTAGTATTGAAACCAACTGAGGCACATTATTTACATTTGGCAGATTTTACATACTACTAGTAGTTTCTGGTATAAAAGACATTCTATTATGTGGACATATAAACCTTTGCCATTTTGAAACCGAATTTGAAATTATGGCCACTTGGCTGGAAGCAATGTCAGCCACTGTCTACCTAATGCCTTATTGCTGTGGGTAAAATTATAAAAATGCTCCAAGCTGAGTAGGCCTTCCAGCATTGGCTCTCAAGGAGCAGACACATTGCAATGTTCTCTTTAAGTCTTGAAATGTCCCATTCCTGGGAGGCAGATTATATCCTTACAGTGAGAAATATCAGCTTTCCATTCAGCCTGGGAAATTAAAGAACTCTTTTAACAAATCTTGATTTGACTGAATCACAGTATTATTTGTGTGAAAGAAAGTCACTGTAGTTACCACCATTTCTTCTTCACCTATAATACGGTTTATCTTAGACTAAACTTAATATGTGAACTTAATAATCATATATTAATTGTATATAAATAAGACTACTATGACCTGTACAATTAAAAATCATGCTTTAGGTTTATGGATGAAGACAATTTGTTACCTCTTTTTCTTCTTCCTTATGGTTACAAATTGAAGAAACAGGACCAGTCATTTCACACGGTGACTGGACTGGAAGACAAGTATTACAAGTATCTGAAGAACCAAAAAACAAAGCTATGAGCATCTTAAAACCAAATAAAGTACATGGAGTTAACTGCCTCCTTTCATGCTCCTGTCTAGATAGTCAATTTGCTACCTGAGCCGAATTTGACGATCTCTCCCTTCAATACTCCTTGTCATTATACTTGGCACAATCTGTTCTTATACATATTATTATGATTATTATGCATATTACTCAGAAGGAAGTCCCTCTATATTTCAGAGATTATTGCCAAGGACTGCAATGCTGGACTCTTTGAAAAAAATGGTACACTGCTCTGGTAGTAATAGCAGTGTGAATTTCTATGGAGATTCTCAGTCATCCAAGTCATGGTTGTCCCAAAGGTGCTTTTTCCAAAGGCAACTGGACTTCGTTTTTCCTTGAAGACATTTTACTTCTCATTCAAAAAGCAAAATGTCTTCAAGGAAAAACAAGTCCAGTTGCCTTTTGAAAAAACTGTTTTGGGACAGCAGTGTGAATTGATATTTAGTTTGAAAACAATATGTTTAATCATAAAGGATCCAACATTTGCTTGTTGAATCCAATATCTTGTGTCCCACATTGGCCAAACAATCCTTTAATATAAAGGATCCAATATTTGCTTGATGAATCCAGTATCTTGTGTCCCACATTGGCTAATTAGATGCTCTTCTGAAGCACAATGGCAGAAATTAATGACCCAGTTCTATATTCTACTTTACTCCCCTTTGTGAGGCCTGAATACCCAAGCAGAACCAGCTACTAAGAATCAAAGACTAAGTATTTGATTACTACATGCAGTTCATAAGCTTCTAGATACAAGATAAGGTTGTCCTCATCATCCCTGAGCTTCCAAAGTTCCTTCAAAATCTGATCATGCCAACAGGCCTGGGGATCTTGAGGGAACGGTGAAATCAAGAGATGGCTATCTTATTATTGACATCCTTCTGTTCTCTTTTCCAGTTTTAGTTCTGCTTCTATAATTTTAAATTCTTTTTAATTATTATCTAATGGTTTTAACTGTTTGTCTTATCTATCTATCTATCTATCTATCNGATAGATAGATAGATAGATAGATAGATAGATAGATAGATAGATAGATAGATAGATAGATAGATAGATAGATAGATAGATAGATACAAACAGACAGACTCCTTGCTCCCGTTTCTGGTACCACAGTCAGGCTAAAAATGCAAGAGAATAGAATAGAATAGAGCTGGAAGGGATCTTGGAGGTCTTCTAGTCCAGCTCCCTGCTCAAGCAGGAGAACCCATACCATCTCAGACAAGTGACTGTCTAGCCTCTTCTTAAAAATCTCCAGTGAGAGAGTGGTGAAAGAGAAGAGGAGAGGAAAGGAAGAAGAGGGAAGTAGGGAAGAAAGAGAAGGAAGGGAGAAAGAAGGTAGAGAAGAAGGAGTGGGGATGTAAAAAGAATGTATGTTAATATCTGATAAATATCACAGTATATTTACATACATATACAACACAGTATATGTATGGGGGAGAGTTTGGAAAAATAAAAAAAAATCAAAAAAAAAAATCTCCAGTGATGGAGCGCCCACGATTTCTGGAAGCAAGTCTATGAGGCAGAAATAGTTCTGAAATGACATCTTCCATGATGAAACCTTTATGGTAATTATTACAAGAATGTCCTGAGTTCACAAGGGATAATAGATTTATTTGAAAACACAGTTAATGGGAATCGTTGTTTGATTTGTTCTAGATTTAAAAAAAAACAGGAAAAGTTGCATCATTTGGCCTACAGGTTCTTAGCCAATCCAGTGTGCTCTGTAGTGCTAAAATGTTTAGTACCTTCCGTCATAATGAAAGGGGTGACTGTTTCTGCTTCCTTGAGCTCAGAGACTTTCAGTTCTCCTCCTCCTCCTTTTTCTTTTTCTTCTTCTTCTTGATGGATGCGACACTCTGCCTCTGCATCAGAAGGGATGTCATCTAAACCAGGAATTGGAAAACAAAAAAGAATTAAGATTAAAATGTTATAGACATTTATAGTAACTTCATAACAAGGGAATGGAATGCTGAAACTATGTAGGGTTGTGGCCCCCATCTTTCTCTCTCTATTTTCCTTCCTTCCTTCCTTCCTTCCTTCCTTCCTTCCTTCCTTCCTTCCTTCCTTCCTTCCCTTCCTTCCTTTTCCAAATTGTTACTCAGAGTAAATTATGTGTATGCTAAATTACCTAGTTTGTTAGTTTTACAGTAAGTCACAATTTTAGAGTAAAAATAGGTATTACCTCTGTGTTCCTGAAGCCCTTTACTACATTTTTATTTCACGTGGCTACTCCACATATGATTAAAAGATGCCATGTATAATTATCTTGAAATCTTTCTCTGCCATCTCCAACTCTCATGCCATTAAGTCACTACTTAAATTACTATATCAGCTGAGCTCTTTCGTTTGGGGTGGTCAAATCTGCACACAACCGTTTTGCAGCATGACTTTGCATTTCTGCAGTATTAACTGCTGGCCCTTACAGGTAAATCAGGCAGGGCTCATTCTACTTTATTGTTGTTGTTGTTGTTGTTAATTGCGAAGTCGTGTCCGACCCATCGCGACCCCATGGGCAACGTTCCTCCAGGTCTTCCTGTCCTCTACCATCTTCTGGAGTCCATTTAAGTTCACGCCTACTGCTTCAGTGACTCCATCCAGCCACCTCATTCTCTGTCGTCCCCTTCTTCTATTGCCCTCAATTTGTAAGGGTACATTAATAGAATCTGGTTTAAGTCTGAAGGTACAAACTTCCCATCACTACTTCTAACCATCTAATCAATTAGGGCAGTCTTTCCTAAATTTCTTTCTCTGACCGTTAAGCCACAGGGGGGTTCCTCCCTCTCTTATCTGATTGTTTTCTAGGCAGGATCTCTTTCCCTCATCCCCCAAGGTCATCCACACATTCCATTACAACAACCAACAGCATACTTATATGAAGGTATTCTCAGACTCCTACCATCATCCAACTCTGCCCCGGTGTCCCCATCTTCAACAGCTTCTGCAGGCTCGGTACCTACTTCATCTTCATCATCGTTCTCTTCACACAGGGCTACAATAAATTGTTGGTACAAATTTTGAAAAGAGACAATGGGATGGAAGAGAAAATAGATTTCTGTTTGGGGGACTGCTTAAGACACACTCCCGTAATCCAAATACAACAAACATGTGATGGAGCCTTCTGCTAGGACTGTACCACTTTGGATTAAAATTGATAAGTGTGTGATGGGACAAGACTATCCTGGAATAGAGATTTGCCTTTTTTTTCATTTGAATGCTGAAGAACATTGATGTATATGACATTGATGCATCTGAGCTGAGACAATCAGCACATGATTTTTCTAATCATAAAAGCTCAGTTCACGTATGTTGGATAAAAACAGAAACTTCAGGTCATTAGCCAAATGCATCTTTTTAAAACAAGTAGAATATGTTTGGTCAATATATGAAATGAATGATGCCCTGAAATGTGAGGCCGACCTTTTAGAATATTTGCGTTTAAATGTTTGTAATATTATACATTTGGACCATGTAGTCCTACTGAAGTTTAAACATAGTTGGAAATATATGTATGGCATATACATAATAGCTATAGCTATTCTAAGCAACCATCCAAACCAAGAGTACAGTGGTATCTCGGTACTCATCATTAGTTGGTTCCAGGAGGCACGAAGAGTACCAAAAACCTTTCCCATAAGGAATACTGTAGGGAGTCACAAGGCAGCCGACAGTGACCAGTTCTAGCTTGTGCGTTGAGTACCAAACAAACAACGAGCACCAGGATAACTTTTTTGTGTCAAAATGCATTAGGTACCAAATTCAATGAGTTTCAAAGTAGCTGAGTACCAAGGTAGCACTGTATGTGGAGGTCAAATACAGCATTTTAGAATCAAACATAACGTGCTATATATTTAATTGATGTAATATTTTGGACCATCCTTCAATAGAGGAAAGACTAGTCTCTCCTAAGCAATCATGCATACTCCCATGAATCAAAATAAAATTTCAGTGATATGTTAATGGAGGCACAAATTAGCATATATTGGTGCACATCTATTCTTGGGGAAATGTGTTCTATTCATAGTTATTTTGCAAATACATCTTTGCACATATCAAGCAGTGAAACATGAAGTGCAGGGTGGGGGGAAGCTGTCGCATAGAAACTTAAGAGCGATGCACTACTATATCCCAAACTACTGGAAGCAATATTTTGCCCAAGTTGGTCAGCAATCAAAACTGGCTAAGAATAAGGCAATATGCAAACTCTGCTCACAGAAGCAAAAAAAAAAAAAAAGTTTTAGAAATGCACTAGCTCCATCCATGCAAATTCCAAATTGTCAAATCTCAAGTAATCTCTGTTGTACTGCCTATAATTATAACCAATTCTTTTAGAAGGACTGAGCCTTAATAATAAGATCAAAGGATACGGCTGTTTAGAAGCAACCTGTACAATTTAGCTCTTTCATATGGACTAGACCGGGGGTAGGCAACCTTGGCTCTTTTATGACTCGTGGACTTCAACTCCCAGAATTCCTGAGCATAGCTGACTCAGGAATTCTGGGAGTTGAAGTCCACGAGTCATAAAAGAGCCAAGGTTGCCTACCCCTGGACTAGACACTCATATGACTATGCCTTGTCCTACAGCAAAGTCACTTTATGAAGAATCTGATCTATTATGACATCTATCTAGATGATGGAATTCCAGGAACACAAACATATCTCAATTCTGACTTTAATACACTTCAAATTGACTTCAACAATGACTTCTCATTGAAGTTTTTGTCAACTTAAGGTCTATCTAGACCAGCATTCTTCCAGCTCAGTGATCCTCAATGACTTCTCCTTCAAACTATACCTCTTTTCAGAACTGTAGACACATTTTGTGTATTATTTCTACTTTTTAAGAAAAAAGTTTCAAAACTGGCTAAAGTACTGAAGATAATGGCTACAGAATAAAGCAAGTGAGAAGATTTTTTCCCACATTAGGAAGATGTTCTGAAGAAAATGAAGTATTACAATAAGTTTATGTGATGTGGGACAGATCACACATCTTCCCATTATGAATTTTAAAGATAGAACCACTTGAAAGATTACTGGCTGAACTGATTAGCCACACTTCAGATCACCTGAAACAGCATTTAACTTAAATGTAATTTTAGAAAACAATTGCCACCAAGGGCCTTGCTTAAAATCAAGACTATGAGAGTTGAGTAAAGGAAGTAATTTATCTTGGGGTGCAATCTTCTACTGGCAACAATGAAAACCTTGTTTTTAGCAAACTGTCAGATGGGTGCTTAATCATCTGGACTATATCTAAGATCACTATCTATGTAGAGGCTTTGGCTTGTTTTCACCTTTCAGGTAGTGTTAAATTTAAATAGGTCCTACTGGTCTACGGCATATCTAGAAAATCTACTTCTCTTCTCAACTACATCTGTATTTCCAGTATTCTCTGCAAGAAGGGAAGCTGAAGGAATTAAGATGGTGGTCTAATTCATGCAAGAATGGCTCATCTCTTTGAGACATGCAACTGCCCTTTCCCTGCTTCCCCAACTCTGCCATGCAGTAGCAATGAAGACATTGATAGTTCCTGGGTTAAAAAAGGCCAGCAAATGGGGCACTGGAAACATGGAGAAGTGGCATTGCCAGCGATGGCGGGCAGGGTTACTTGTGAGCTATAAACAGAACATCACCAAAACTACCTCCTGGGACGGCATCCAGCCATGCCTGTATTGCCTCGTGGCGGATGGAGGGAAGGTCAGATGCTGAATTAAAATAAAATAAAATTATAATAAATTCCACAGCACACTAAACATGTATTTTGAGATGGAATCACAAAAGAAAATGTTTAGAAGCAGAAAAACAAAACGAAAACACACTGTGGAAAAGCAAACTCAAAAAGATCCTAAATGGGATTTTAAGGGGAAGGCTGAAACATGAATTCCTTGATCTTGGTATCATCTGCCATGGCTTCTGCTACCTACCTGTAGAAAATTGTGTTGAAAAATTATTACAAACTGAGATTAACATTTGCTTGAGGTCTGACCTTTCTTGTAGAAATCAAAGATCTCTAGTAAAATAAAAAATATTTAAAACAGAAATGCTCTGATCAATGGACTCCCTCAATCCCAATTATATTCACTACCTTCCTTTAAGTCAGGGGTGTCAAATTCAATTTCATTGAGGGCCGCATCAGCATTGCGGTTGCCCTCGGGGTGTGTGTGGCTAGGGTGGGTGCAGCCTACTGGGTGGGCGTGGATGGAGTAGGTGTGTCCTACTGCGTGGGCATGGCCAGCTCTACATCGTTCGCGTCAAGGTTGCCTGTGGAGGCCTGGGCAGGAGTGGGACAGATCTGAGGGTCTCTGGCAGAAGGGGGTGGGACCGGGGCAAGCGCCAAGGCATGGTCCATTTCTTCATTCCTCACAAACGGTGACACCTCCCCAGCATGCACCCAGGGGGGCGGGGCTGACACGGCAGGGGCTGGTTCCTCGCTGTTTCTAGACGGCCGTGTGGAGCTAAGACTGAATGTGTTTCAACATAGATGGCCACCACAAAATTGTACATTGGCTCTCGGCCGGTCTGGCCAGGGCCAAGGCAGCAGGGGCCGTTCCCTCACTGTTTCCAGGATGGCTTCACGGGCCACATGAAACCACTTCGCGGGCCACATCCGGCCCCCGGGCCTTGTGTTTGACATGTCTGGTTTAAGTGGATGTATTTGTTCTTCTGATGATTACTCTGCCATAGAGAACCCAACTCTTAGAAGTCCTCATCTCCCAGGTTCTCCTGCCAAATACATCCAGCTTTGATAAAAATTATAACAAACAATGTAAAAAGGGTAATTTAGAGCCCATTACTTAATATGAGTTACAAAACTCCATGTTTAGCCTTCTCTTGTATATCTCTTAGCCAAGAGACAAGATCGAGTTCTTTTATACTATTTAATCTGGAACCTTAAGAAGGTTGAATCTAGGTTCTACCTGGCACCAGTGTTACCTAGGTCTGGCTCCCCTGGTTGAGAATTTAAAAGAGTTCATCCCAACACAAAAAAAAAAGGACCATACTCGGGTACAGCAAATTAGGAAAACCAAGGAAAGGAAGCAGAGAGAAGTTCCCATGAAGCCAAATAAACAGTGAAACCCCAAACCATACACCAGACCATCAGAGAAAATCCAAGGAAATAAGGCAATTATGAAAAATCCATAGAATATAGCATAAGGGAAGTATAACGAACATATTAATTTTCAAATTGCGAGAATTACTGAACTTCAAAATATGCCTTCTTTTTCTCTTCAGAGAAAGTATGCGATCAAAATGTTAGCTCTCTTGTGCTTGGGCAGCTTGTTTTCAATTTCAGAGGTGCCAAATGTGTCAAATTTTAAAGCTGCTTATAATTTAAGAAGTACAGATTGTTGTTGGAAAAAAAAGTGATTGAGATTTCCAATAGCACTCGAGGTATTGATTATATGTTTGGCTGAAAGTAGACTGAGGGACAGGTGAAAGACTAACTATCCCAAGTGATGCTTTCAAATAGCATACAGATCCTGAGCTGGAATAATTATGCAACTTGATAACTTGGAAACATCAATTACTTGTATTTCCTCAAAGGAAAGGCTACCTTTTTTTTCCATCCAAATAATTTACCTTTAAAATGGGAGGATTCTCTTACTTTCCGTGAAAAGTGCAGTCAGATGAGGGTTTATTTCCATCCAATTTTCCTTATTTGGAAGGACTGTTTTAAACTGATATTTAAAATCATTTTTGGTAGGTTGCAGCATAGATATTTGGAGTAACATTTCATGGTATATGACAAGTGCAGAAGTCTAGCTCTAAACAAACAAGCAATCTTTCTCTTGTAAAGTTCATAATACCTTTTCTGCTAATAATTATTCTTAGTCAGTCTCTCTTGGTCTGTCTGTCTGCTGTCTCTCTCTCTCACTCTTTTACACACACATACACACCCCTCTCATTTCAAGGGAAGTATAAGAAAGGAAACTTTCTAAAGGATTTGGAAAAAGCTAGTCAATACGTAATTGGACCAAAAGGACTTGCAATTTCAGTGGCTTTGTGAGAGAAAACCTTTTGCCCATATTTCAGCATTGGGAATGCGATTGATCATAAGAAGTACTGTCTTGAGCTAGAATGAGGTATGAGTGACCTCCAGATGCTGCTCAAATACAAGTTTTAGCAGCCCAGCCAGGATAACCAACAGTGAAGGATGAAGGGCACCTTGCCCATTCCTAGAAAACAGGAATCTGAGACACTGGTGAAGGTGGATAGCAGTGCCTGCATTTTCTGTGTCACATGAGAAAAGCACATCTTCCTTCCCCTGTCCTTACCACTTTCTACAGAGGGACAATCGAGAGCATCCTGTCATACAGCATCACAGTCTGGTTTGGAAGCATCCCTGCTTCAGACAGGAAGGTGATGCAGAAAGTGGTGAGGATGGCAGAAAAGATCATTGGCTGTTCCCTCCCTTCCATCCAGGACATAGCATATAAGCATTGTTTGAGCAGGGTCTGCAAGATTGTCTGGGACACTACACATCCTCTTCACAACCTGTTTTGCTTGTTACCTTCTGGAGATTTTGTTGTATCCGAAGCAGAATATCCAGATTCAGCTACAGTTTTGTTCCATATAGCTTCAACCTTGTGAACTCTCTCCACTATGTATTTCTCTTTCCACTATGTATTCAAAATGAACTGTGATTAATATTTGTGTGTGTGTGTGTGTGTGTAGGTATATAGCATGTGTTTATGTGTGTTATGGTATGTGTATGGGTAGATATATACTTTCTTTTGAGAGCAGGCAACAGAGTTTCATTTTTAATGTGGGCCAATGTGATCATAGTAAAAGAAATAATAATAAAGGTTATCATCTTATCTTGCCTTGCCTTGCCTTACCTTTGTTTCAGAAAAGTAACAAGCTGCAGATTTAATGTAAAAAAAAATGTCTGGAACACAAACCTAGGATTACCTATCCAACAGAAGCTCTAGACTAGAGCATGGAAAGATCAAGCATTTGCTAGGCTAAATATAAGTAAGAGCTTCTTATCCCAATACTGTGTGAGATTTACTTTGTATGGAGCACTCAAGAAGATCAGAGAAAGAAGTTCTTGCCCTACTTTTTGTAGTTTACAGGAGAAATATTTTTATCTAGACTCTGATAACTCTACATGTTGCAAATTGCTCAGACTCGGATTAATAATCCGATATTTGAGATGTTCTCTAATGCAGAGGTCCCCGACCTCTCTCCGGTTCTGTGGAGAGAGGTTTTTCCGTGGACTGGAAGGTGTGTGGTTTTGTGTGCTGCCTGCATATCGCGGATGGGGCTTTGCTTGTTTGTGCGGCCCGGTTGCTGGCATGTTGCGGCCCGGAACTGGTCCACGGACCGGGAGTTGGGGACTTCTGCTCTAATGATTTTCCCTATCAGCACTTTCCAGTTACTGGAAAAGCAAGTGCCATCATTTTCAAATGGCTACAGAGGATGGGAATTGGAATCCAACATGTTCTGAAAGTGTAGAATGGAGAAAACTGTCCTTTACATTTCTTTTCATCTTCTAAATAATCTCCACGAAGAAAGTAATTGAAGCCAAATTTGTCTTTTACACAGAGCATCTTTAACGTCTCATTCAAAGATCAATTTTCAAAAAATAATTCCATTCTTCACCATCCTGTTCTCTGTCTATTTAGTGAACAACCTGTGTTTCAGACATTCGGTTGTCATCATTCTGAAGAGACCTTGTGCTATTTTATTATTACAAGTGTTTTATTTCAACTATTCTTAACTTTCTGCCACCCTTTTAGATGCAATGCCCACAGTCCTCTCAAATTCTCTTAACTATTTGCTTTTTATCAGTCTTTCCCCTTTTTACTCTTCTGTTCTGAAACTACCAAATCATCAATTTGACCCTTACTGGATTGAAATTCTTGGAGATGGAAAACATCTAGGATCCACCAGGCTGAGTGAGGCTATTCTCCATTAAGAAGCCAGCCTAAAGAACTGTATAGACTTGATTTCTCTCTTGCATTAGGCTAGACCAGGGGTTTGCAACCTTGACAACTTTAAGACTTGTGGACTTCAGCTCCCAGAATTCCTCAGCCAGCATAGCTGGCTGAGGAATTCTGGGAGCTGAAGTCCACAAGTCAGTTGTCAAGGTTGCAGACCCCTGGGCTAGACTAATCTAGCTAATTCTGCCTGTCCTAGGAAGCCATGGGTACTTAAAGCTTAAAAGGGATACCTCCTACTGTAGTCCTCATACCCACCAGCAGATCGCTCTTCCATTACAAATAAATGTTCATACCATAAACGCAAGACATGTTCCATTCCGTTCCAAGCGATGGCAAACATGAAAGCTCTAAAAGCAACATGAAGATGGTCTCAGAATTGGTCTTTCTACATTTAATGGGAATCAAATGCCCTTAATGCAGGGGACACGTTTACCTCTTGAGGTGGAGGACTTAGAAGTGGGACCCACTTTTTCCTCCTCCTCCTCCTTCTGACGGATGTGTGTCCAGTGCACATCAGCCAAGATCTCCAGGGGATCAATTGGATTTACTATCTGCTGGAGCCTCAGGTTTCCAGCTAGCAGACAAAAGGCCAGTGGTGGATCATGTAGAAGGCATTGGCAAAGGAAAACAGGAAGGAAAAGGAGAGGGTAGGAAAAGGAGTACAAATCATTGGATAGGAAAGACAGGGAGAGAAAAAAAAAGTTATTTGAAGTAGAGTGAAAGAGAAAATAGATAAAGATCAGCATTGGGCATGCAGGTGTTTCCTTCCACATTGCCGTTTATATATTCCATTCTCTGCAAAATACAACAATCCTTCAGTGATGCCTACTTGAAGATTCACCATCATGAAGACTATTAGAAAAGCATCTAATTCCATCGTGTACATTTTGTCACTCTTTTAAAACTGCTAATAAAGCTACCGCGTCCACCAGTATGGTTTTAGTAACAGACTGTTTTCCTCTTCTTTTTTAATGAGCAGCATTTCAAACAATAACTGCCCAATATGTGCAACTTAAATCATAGAACAGCCAAAAAGAATAGAGGCAGAATGTTAAATACATTTTGTTCTTTTTCTTTAGTTCACACCCAATCCTATTTTGCTTCCAAGAAGTATGATGTAACTATGAAACTATCCTGTGGAATTTTGAAGAACATCATGCACTCAAGTTCTCTTGTTGAATTATGGCAACTCATGCCGCCAACTGTCCTTTTCCAACACAAATCCTTGGGTAAGTATTGTTAGTGTTAGAACACACTGCTGGGGAGTTAACAGGATGAGTTTAATTTGCAAGAATTCATACACAGAACCTTAGCAAGGCTCTGAAAGAGCAGGCCTCATCAACCATCAGAAACTAAAGCTTGTTATTCGGATAGTATCCAACAAAACTCACTATTTCCAATTTTCTATGAGCCCATAAAGATGATTTGTCTCCTCTGAAACTTCTGACCTAGTGGTGAACTTTAACACAGGGGATTATTATGTTGCATTTCTGAACATCTGTAGCACAGGATAAAGAAAAGGGGTTTGCTGATTCACTGCTGCTCTGATCACTGATGAATTCTGATGGTTCATCTGGTACTTTTTTTCCTTGTTTTCTCTCAGGGGTCTTCAAACTTGGCCCTTTTATGACTTGTGGACTTCAACTCCCAGAATTCCTCAGTCAGCGTGCCTGGCTGAGGAATTCTGGGAGTTGAAGTCCACAAGTCATAAAAGGGCCAAGTTTGAAGACCCCGGTTTTCTCTGAAAATGGGACCTTGAAAGCAAGAATAAAATGTGGATCTGGCTTATTCTATAAAAGATAGAAACCCTTGTTCAAATGTCCCAATAAACAAAACATAGATAGAGTAGTCTGTGATTGTTATCCACAAATGCTGGCAAAGTTTGTGTGTGAACAAAACAGCACACACTCCTGTTCTGCTTGTTCTCCAGAAAGATATAATTCTTCAAAATTTATTACAATGTATAGCCATAGTGACTGCTATTGTATCCTGTTCCCTATTTATATACAACCGTTTTTGCAGGTGAATTTCAGACACTAGAAGCAATGAGTTTTTATCAAATTATAATAAATGTCACAATAACATGTGAAAGTATTATATAATATTAAGCCAAAATGGAGGGAACTTCCAGCTTTTCAAACCAAGTCTTCAAAAACTGGAAAAAAATACTTTTTTTTGGTTAGTTAAAAAGAGAGATAGTGTGGATTATTTTTGATGAAGTTATCACTGTAACAAAAATGTCAAGCCATGACATAAATTAAAAAAAAATCTTGCACAGTGAAAAAACAAGATCACAATGCTGCTAGTCTTTGAACGCTTAGGGTTTGACTCATTCCCAGATAAGCAGCACAAAAAGACAGTATATAAATGTGCAGCAACAGACACATAGTTGGCCATGGAATTTAATGAATTTAATCTAGAAATGCCTGAGCTTTAATCTAGCTGTTACTCTATTTATCTAATGAAAGAGGCAGGAAAAAAAGCAAATATAGTATTTGCTCCTAATAATATAATTTTAAAATGTTCAATAAGGGCTAAAGAGAACCAGGCCCTATTTGACCATGGTGATCAGGGATTGAACAGAATAGTCTCTATTCCTTATCTCACAGAGTTATTGTGATGAAAAATGAAGGTAAACCACAAGGGGTACCATGTCAGTGTCCTAAAGCACTTTTTCTATCCTTAGCAATTTTAAGATATGAGGATTTCAACTCCCAGAATGCCCAAGCTAGCATGGGTGGCTGGAAATTAGCTGGGGAATTCTGGGAGTTAAAGTTTCCATAACAAAGTTCCTAAGCTGAGAAACATTGATCTAGAGCAGACATGTCAAACACAAGGCCCGGGGGCCAGATGCGGTCCGCAAAGTGGTTTCATGTGGCCCGCGAAGCCATCCTGGAAACAGTGAGGGAATGGCCCCCTCTGCCTTGGTCCTGGCCCAGGCCAGCCGGGAGCCAATATACAATTTTGTGGTGGCCATCTATGCTGAAATGCATTCAGTCTTAGCTCCATAAGCCCCCCCCCCCTGCATGGCCTGAGAGGAACAGTGAGGATCCTCCAGTGGACCATGCCTTGGCACTTGTCCTGGTCCCATCCCCTTCTGCCAGAGACCCTCAGATCTACCCCACTCCTGCCCAGGCCCCCACAGGCACCCTTGATGTGAACGATGTAGAGCTGGCCACACCTACCCAGTAGGCCACACCCACTCCATCCACGCCCACCCAGTAGGCCGCACCCACCCTGGCCACACCCACCCGGCCCCCTGAGGGCAACCGCAATGCTGATGCGCCCCTCAATGAAATTGAGTTTGACACCCCTGATCTAGAGGAAAAGATGAATATACATGTGTTTTTATTTCAAATGTAATTTGTTGAATACAGCCGTTTCTAAATAGGTTGTACCACATGAGACCTGCTCTTTGTAATAATAAAGGAGCTTCCCCTTTTTCCTCAAGGGATGCAGTGACAGTGCAAGGGTACCTTTAAAAGTACCCGTATCCTCTTCATTTGATAGACGTTGAAGCCAGAGGCCTTGCTGAAGTTCTCGCTCCCAAGGATAATACTCTCCCTCTACAGCAGGGGGAGGAAGACACCAACAAATAGCATTGTCAGAGTGAAAGAAAAGGACAGAGAGTGAGAAGGAACACAAGTGAATGCTGAGGAAACCCACAGAGGCTCAAAGTTCCTTCACCTTTCTAACATGTTCAATCTCACATAGGAATCTGAACATGCAAAATATGTACGGATGCATGTGTAATGGATGCACATCCATCCCACAGTGCATAGTGCACACAGATTACAAAATTGGAAAATTCATATATATATTCCAAAAATTGTGTGGACTTACAAGCAATTTCCCCTCACCTATTTAGCTCATTTTACTTTATTCAAGAGATGGATCTCTCAACCAAGGCTCTTATTGGCTAAAATTCCCCATGTGTTCCATTATTAAAGGAGTTGATCCATGCAGAACTTGAGTGATCAAATGCTCTGGCAGACCAGACTTATTTTAAAATTGGAACTAATTGTTTAAAAAAGATCAGTTTCAAAAGTAACAAAGTTAGAGGCTTTGTCAGTTATGATTCAATTGTCTTTCTCCATTTTTAAAAATAAAAATCAGAGACGCTAGGAGCCTACTCGCCTTCCAACCTAAATATTCTACATGTTTATGATTTTCTACTAGCTGCTAGAGTAAATATTGACTTACAGTTTTTGACTACAGTTGACTCACAGCTTTTTAGATAGTTTTTTTTTAGACAGTTGCGAATGTAGCCTGTATCCCAAATTGCAGGTTCAGAATGAATGAGAAATGGCTGTTTGTCATGTACAGAGTTAGGCTCTCCCGTTCAATATTCCACCTCATTTCTCTGCTAGATATAATGTTTAGTTTTTAAAAATCAAAAGGAGATGTTCATGGAGAGAAGCTGGAGAAAGGATAAGATGACTATCCTTCTTCACAGTCTTTGCTACTTGCAGGTAGTCCTTGACGGAGAACCACTTTTGGGGGCAGGATTTCCATTACTAAGGTGCTTGTTAAGTGAGTTGCGCTTGATTTTACGACCTGTTTTGTCACATTTGTCAAGTGAATCACTGCAGTTGTTATATGAACCATGTGGTCATTAAATGAATCTAGTTCCCCCCCCCCCTGACTGTTTGTTGGAAGCTGGCTTGCAAATGGTGACCACATGATCCTAGGATGCTGCAACTGTTTCCAAACTGTTTACAGCTTGTAGTAACAGCTTCACAAATTTCAGATAGAAGTTTTTCTCAGCCTGCCCTGCAAGTGATAGAAGCTGAACACTGAACTTCGTAGATAATGAATACATTCTACAACAATGATAATACTGTAGCTGTTTTCTGAAATGTCTGCTTTGGAAGTTGGTTTCCTGGCTCCTAACACTGTGATTCTCTCTTCATCTTGAGTGCAATTTATTCATTCATAGCTTTTACTTTCGGTAAACGCAAATACGACAGCCGAGTATTGTGTTTTAAGATCTTAAAAGTTAAATAAGGGCAATGGAAGATGGATTAGACAAAATACAATCAGAAAAACAGCCATCAATTTGGATCCTATTATTTCCTCAAAAGATTTCTTCTCTAATCTCCCAGAATTTTTTATTCACTGCTAGGTATTAATATGTAATTTTTCCAGAAAAAAAGAGGAATACATACACATATATGTATTCATCAGCACACAAATTTGTATCTAGATGGAAAAAAATACTAACCTTCACTAGAGACTTCTTCTTCCTCCTCCTCATGCTCCTCTTCCTCCTCCAGCTCCTCCTCCTCCTCTTCTGCCTCCTCCTCTTCTTCATTATCATGGTTTTTCTCAGTCTTCAGCTCCTCCTCACTCTTCCCTTTCAACATGGCATGTATTCGCACAGCCTCTTTCCAAGGCACACCACCCAGATCAGAGGTAGGTTGCTGGGCCTGCTCTGCTGCCTCCTCGTCCTCTTCCTCCTCTTCTTCCTCCTCTATTTCAGATTCTGAGCTACTGTTGGGAAAACAGGCAAGAGGCATCTTGAAAGGTTTTCAGCTCATAATATTTTCCAATAAATATAGCCAAGGAAAACGATCTTCTACCAGTTCAGAATACCTAACCATTTAGCCCAGGGGTCCCCAACCCCCGGTCCATGGACCGGTACCGGGCCTTGGCATGCCAAGCAAAGACCCATTTGTGGGATGCAGGCAGCACACAAAACCACACACCCTCCGGTCTGTGGAAAAACCTCTCTCCACATAACCGGTCCCTGGTACCCAAAAGGTTGGAGACCTCTGATTTAGCCTAATATTGTACAGGTAGTCCTCAACTTGCAACTATTTGTTTAGCGACCATTCCAAGTTACAATGGCACTGAAAAAAAAAGTGACTTAGGGTCTTCACATTTACGACCATCACAGCATCCCCACAGTCACATGGTCAACATTTGGGCGCTTGGCAACTGGCATGTATTTACAACAGTTGCAGAGTTCTGAGGTCCTATGATCACCCTTTGCAACCTTCTCAAACAGCTTCTGACAACCAAGTCAATGGGGGGGGAGCTGGATTCGCTTAACAGTCACGTAATAAAGCTGCAGTGATTTGCTTATCAACTGTAGACAACATAATATCGAGCATAAGTCACTTAACAACTCTCTTGCTTAGCAATGGAAATTTCTGATGCCAATTGTGGTCATAAATTAGGGCTACCTGTACATCTGGCTGGCAATAGCTTTTTGGCATGTCAGATATACGGATTTCATATATTTATGCAGTATATTCATTCATTTCAACTAAAGATTCCTGGGATAAAATAGATGATCACACAAACATGCAGTTAGTGCTACGTTATGGTATTTTGAATTTTCAAAAGGTGAGCAGCTATATCTGAGATCATACATCCCAGTAGTCTATGGAAATTTCCTGTTCCAATTATTTTCCCCCCACTTATTTTAATGAAGTAAAAGACCCTGGGAATGAATGAGTTTCTGTCTTCATAAACAATCTGAAATTTAAGTTCTTGGGTATTCTGTGGCATAAAGACAAAACTGAATCGAGAACTTTATTTAGGGAAACTGATTTACTAAGAATAAGGATACATACCATACTCCTATCTGAAGAGCATGTACTTCAATACCCATCAATAGCGGCCAGCATGACCAATGGGCAGAGACTATGAGAGCAATTGTCCAAAATATTAGAAGGAATATTACTTATTCCTGACTTTAAATGTGCCAACAGTTTAAACTTCCTTCAGATGTTCTATGATAGTTTCATTTGCTACTTTCATAGAAAAAAGTTGTACCTACCGTTTTTTTACCTATGGAAATCATTGTAATCTACTGTATGAGTGGAAAGAGAGCTTGAGAATTGCATTTTTAAGTTTTTCACTTAAATGTCTATGTCTCATTTCTTCAACCATGCTTTATTAATATATTTTAAATAATGGCCCCCATTTGGGAAAAATTCACCAAACTTAGAGAATCATTCATTCTATCCTCTATTTCTATCTTTCCCAAACAGTATGTCCGCAAATGGATTCTTTAAAAAAAATAAGGTTGCTAATTAAAATTATGGGTAAACTTAGCAAATGTAAATCATCTGGGAATTTTATCTAGAGTATGAAAGAAATCTGCATTTTTTTTTACTTCTAAGAATGTATTTCCCTCCCACCCGCTGCACTATAAAAATATTTTATTTTATATTACTTGGTCAGATTAGGAACCCTTGTGATGGAATGTTAGCTTGATTTTCTTCAAAAGTCAAAAGAGTTTGCTGTCACTTGAAAATAGAGTACAACTCAAAGTAAGAACTCTAGCTGGAATATATGAATTAAATGAAGTTCTTCAATTGTTTCCCTACAATATTAATATTTGCCTCTAGAGGTTTTCAAGAAATGATTGGATAGTCATTTGTCCAGGATAGTATAAGGATTCCTGCCTTGGGCAGGGGTTAGACTAGATGTCCTCTAAGGTTTCTTCCAGCCTTATGGTTCTATGACTTGAGTGAGTGAATCTCCAAGTGATAAACAGATTTCTGAGGGCACCATGTACTAGAAACAAGGATATCCACTGCAAAGTTTGTGTGGCTTTTGTACTTCTTTTAGAGCAGGGATATCCAGGAAGCATGGCTGGCTGGGGAATTCTGGGAGTTGAAGTCCACAAGTTGCCAAGGTTGGACAACCCTGTTTTAAAGTATAGTGTTAATATCTGGGGGCATTTTTGTGTTTGCAGAAGAAGGCTTACAAACCTTTGCTGTAAAAAAAAGGTGGAAAATTGCGAGCTTTATAATTTGGCTGCTGCCATTTTTGAATTTAGAGGCTGTACCCAGAATGTAGCATTTTGGTTGATCTCTTATTTGGACAGGTTTTGGATTCAGATCCTTCATTTCATGTAAGTACCCCAAAATCTTAAATCTGAAGAAGCATGCAAATCTTGTTTGGTCTTACTGAGTTTTATAGGATAAAGAGTAAAAAAAACCCCACAGCAGTAAACATTATTCAGGGCAAAATGTGTCCTGTGCTAAAAATGGTTGAGATCACCAATTAGAAGACAAAAGCTTTATAAGATTTGTAGAGAAACCAGAGTATAATAGTGACCCTATAATGGAACTCAAAGCCCATCCTTCTTTTCAGTCTGTATTAACAGGTATTTTGCTAATTAATTTGAAAAAGTGTATTTTATCATAGACTGTAGAAAACTAACTACAGAAACTTTTAAAGATGCCCAAATCAAATAACCTGCTGGGTACATCCTCTTCGGTTCCTTTGTCTAGCACGCTGCTGAGGTTGTGCTCTGCCAGTGTCTCCTCTGGCACTTCTTCCAAGTCTTCTTCTCGTTGTACCGAGAGCCGATAGTTCTCCAGTTCAATCCGTTCCGGAGTGCCACGCAGTCTCTTAGCAAGACTGGGTTCCTCTACGCCATTTATGTTGGGAGCTGGAGAAGAATTAAGAAACAAACAACCAAAAGATATTATGAGCCCTGATCCCAACCATGCAAGCAAACCTGGAATAATTGCCTTTGTAATAGTCCCGCCAGGATGCTAAACTGTTGATTTCCAACCAGGTTCTGACTACAGGAGACTCCTGTTAAAGTAGTCTTTGAAAGCAAGTTGCAAGAGGAGAATATGTTCTGTGGAAAATGTATAAGTATTTTTTCTTATATTCTAAGAAAGCACAAAAAAGGTGATCTTTTTCTCCTTTTTTCCACATAAAAATAGCATGCTACGTTACTACTTCAATACCCAACAACAACTGTCTTTTCAACTTGGTGTCCTTCAGATATCTTAAGACTCCTCTCATGCTAGCTGGGGAGTGTAAGAACCAAGTTGATACATATCTGCTGTAATTTAAGTAGAACATTCCGGTCCATGAATTGTTGGTTTAAAAAGCTAGTGGCTACTTCTGAGGAAGTTCTTCTGCTAAGGGTTTTGCTAATGGGGTTGCACACACTAATCATTCTCAGGGAGAAACAATAGCAGCAATGGCTCAGAATGGTCTCTTGGGAGAGGAGTAATGCCAGAAGATTGTATCAGTTTTAGTGCTACCAGATCTGGGCTGCAAATATTAGATGATCACAAGGGAGCAGATTTGAAGTTCCAACAGTCAGCCCCCCCCCCAATCACATGACTGAACTTTGGGTACTGAGAAACTGGGCCACATTTACAGCCATGATTCTCCAGCTACCTCAGTCTGAAAAGAACTATCTGTCTGAAAAGAACTATCAGGGAGAGTAAGACAGGATAATTATATGAAGAGTCAAGTGACCAATAAATTTTTTTTTCAATTACAGTTAATTGAAGAATAAAGAGCTTATTTGAGGACATAAATTATGTCGTTCTAAAAATGAACAAAGGACAGCCAGTAGAAAGAAGCATCCATTTATAGCAGTGGTTCTCAACCTTTTTAATGCCGCGACCCCAACCGGTCGTAAGTCGAGGACTAAACCGGTCGTACGTCGAGGACTACCCAACCGGTCGTAAGTCGAGGACTTTCCCTGCCCGGGAGTGCCGCGCATGCGTGGTTCCGCCCCCTGCGCCGGCCGAGGCGTAGCTGGCAAGCGGCAGAGACAGAGCAGGCCGACCACCAGCTGGCCCACCCCAAGGGAGGTAAGGCACCCGCCGGAAAAGGGGGAAAAAATGGCAGACAAAAGAAATGGCAGACAGCCTTGCTTGGCGACCCCCGTGAAATGGTCGATCGACCCCAAATGGGGTCCCGACCCACAGGTTGAGAACCACTGATTTATAGAGTCAACATCAAGCCAATGATATTTCACAGAGGTGGACGAGGGTATTCCTGTCGATGATGCTTCAGAAGCTGCAGCTGAACTAATGAAATGACCAGGAGCATCGTCTGGAAGAGCTAAACCATTAAATGCAAAAAGTGAGCTAATTCAACTCAGTGATCAAGTACGAAAAGTGTCATGCTTAGACAGAGAGGTCATTGCATGGAAGATTTACTCCTAGTCTTATTCCTAGCTGAAAGGAGTCCCAAAATACGTCAGACACAAAGACAGTGTAAGATGGGGGTACTAGGATTATGAAAAAAACATCAGGCCACTAAAACTTATGACATTTGAGAAGTGGAGAAAATTTAAAGAAAGGATTCTCTTATCACAGACGATAATCTTGTGTTTATGCAAAGTTATGTAGAGCTGACAACCGTTTACTTGTATGGCAGGCAGAAACACAGTTTTCATAGGGAAAAGATATAAGGCGCAGAAGATCCTCAAATATTTTGGATGATAATTGAGCAAGGACAATGGAAAGACTCCAAGAAGGGGCCCACTTTAGTAAAAGGAGGAAACAAGCTATGGAAGCTAAATCTAAATTGTTTAACTACAGAAGAAAAGAAAAATGATGAAATATTAGTAGTATTTATATAGTAGAATGAAAAACTGAAATTGCTGCAAAAATAAATGCTAAAAGCTTAATAGGGTCTGTATTTAACACTTAACAGAAAATGAAAAGACATCTCTGCTGACAAAGAACTAGCCTGTTCCTAGCAAGTAGAAAGGCAAAATCTACTCCATTTTGCTTTATAACAGCACAAAATAGAAAGTTGCCTTCAGTTTTTAAAGATATTTTGAATGAAAAATACGAGATTTAGAGAATATCCACCAGGTAATTAGGCAAAGACTCATGACCCCATAAATAGGACTTCAGTATTTGCAATCTTTCTTAAAATCAGCAGGAATTCGGTCTCAGGCAAGTTTGGAAGGACCTGAAAGAGAAATGGGCTTGGATTTTTTTTTGGGGGGGGGAAACATCCCTGTATTTGAAGTTGGTAGGAAAATCAAACTGGAAAGATCTGGAGTCTTGTAACTCCTACCCACCCACCCAAAGTAGACAGTACTCTTAGGGGCCTGCTCCCAAAAGGCATTTCCCTTGTCTGTATGTCTGGGTACGAAATTCTAACACTAAGCTCAAAATTTGACCCCTTGGTCTTCTCAAGGGTGAAAAAAGACCTTTGGCTGTCCATGAGTTGGGTAATTCACTGTTTAGAAAAACAGCTTCAAAGCTATAGATCTGGAAGGGCTAGGGCTGAAAAGTATTGAAGAACTGTGAACTACAAATGCATTTTTTTTAAGGAAGAGGAAACATGTATGTTCAAGTCACAATATAGAGAATGTTCCTCACAAGGTCACCAAAATGGCCAGGACAAAGAGGAACTGAAACAGTTTTGGCAGATTACTCTTCCATTGATAGTTGAAGGAAGGGAGCTGCCATCTTTCAGACCAATTATAAAAAGTTTCAGAATGAACCTCTGCATGAATGCAAACCCATTAGTGTGATACAGAGAGACCATGAAAAATAATCACTGGTTCTCTAATCAGCCTTTGCTCAAACTGCTACTGAATAGTGTTAGACAGGTCTTTTTTTCTCATAGAACGCCCAGAACGGAGTTCCGGCACCTTTTTTGGATGGAACCTTGTAGGGTAGGCAAGGCAGGTTGTATGACATGTGTGAGTTCCGGCTTCTTCTTCTTTTTTTTTTTTTAGAAAAAAAGCACTGGTGTTAGATATTGGGTGGGAAGGGAAGGGAAAGGGGAAGAGGAAGGGACTAGATTACTGTGTTTTTACTAGACAATTGTACTGGTCAGAATTAGAATTAGAATAGCATTTTGCTCAGTCTTTTTAATTCCCAGTTGTTAATACCCAAAGCCTACTACAAACCAAAGCAGACATCCAATGTACCCAATATTCTTTCTCTGTGATATTTGTACCATATGTCTATTTATCAATCTATTGCTCACCAACTCAAAATATGCAGTTTATCAGGCAACTGGTTCCTGATAATCTGTATCATTAATAAATGCTTGTATTATAATAAATATAAGTTATTAAGTATTAAATATTCCCAAGATTTCTGTTCAGCATGAAGTGCCAATGATTTCACTGTCTCATGCAGTTTTGTACTGTATATTTTAAATCACAAATTCCAGCTATATTATCTTCCTTTCATCATTATCTCTAACCAGTGTTAAATATAATTCCTTGAACCTGGGCCACTGACAAAGTTATCAATAACAGGCACTTGAATCCGTAGTACATGTCTACTGTTATTAGTTAGCATAATTAAAAACCTGAGATATGTCAAGAATTGTAATTTTGAGCACCCTTCAGCAAAATTAATGCTCATGTATATAACTGAAGTTATATAGATAAGTATAGTTGGCAAAGGCATCCATAAAACATTTCTAAATTCCATGCATATCAACAAAACTTTATTTCAAAAGTCACGTAGTCAAAGCCCAACTAAGGGGAAAAAATGGCAATCTGCAAGTAAAGGAATGTTAGTGTGCATGAATACCACATGTTTGTGAGAGGAACTGAGGAACAGCATGAATATTTTGCATAGATTTTTCTTATCTTACTACTCCATCTGTACATCAGGCAAGTATCTGCAACCTATTACTTTAAATTCTACAAGTTTCCAAGGAAGTTCAACGCTGTTACATTACTCACTTTCAAAATTACCTAATTGCCTAATTAATTCTCAGGTCTTCAATGTGCCCAAAAATCTCTCCTATTTTGTTTTCCAATTCCTTCGTGGCCTACGTTTTGTGAGTCAGTAAGCCTCCTACCTATAGTAGCCAATGTAAAAGTACAGAATAGATGTTACCTGGTTTAGCAATAGTAGCTATAGTATGAACGTGCCTTCGTGAAGGGACGGGGAGCATATGGGAATCTTGGAACTGTATTGAATTACAAACCGAATATGAGATCACACTGTGAAGCAGTGCGACATGCCATTTTAGACTGTATCAACAGAAGGAAGTTTGTAAATCACAGGAAGTCATGAATTCACTTCATTTTGGTCTTTATGGGACCCCATCTTGGACTCTGTTTAGTACAGAGTACAAATCAACCTAAGAAATCAATGAATCAAGAGCGGGTTCAGAAAGGAGCAATAGAACTAGAAACTAAGACCTATGAAAAGATTGAAGGAATTAGTGCTGGTCTTGAAAAGAAGAAAAAATGAGAGAGGTATGACAGCCTTCTCCAAATACCTAAAAGGAGGCAAAATTTATTTTCTATCACTGCAAAAAGTTACAGGAAGATGGATTCCAGTTAAACGTTAGAAGAAACTTCCTGATGTAAGAGTACTGTAGTTCAACAATTGTAATGACACGTGAGACTGACCTTGGGAGACAGGGGAAAGAGCTACAGCCAGAAGGGTCAAATAAGAGACAGCTTAGGTCAGAAGGAATGTGGACACGAGGGACCCTCCCTAGTTTCTTGGGCTGTATAGGTGATGGCCTCTGGAAAGTATGAAACAATACTGAGCATGCAAAATGGCTTCCCAGGGGTCTCTAGAAGTGAAGAGACTATTCTGGCATATAACAGAGATCTTGAGTCACATTGAAGATTCACAAATAATTAAGTTGGGGAAAAGAGCAAGAAGAGGGGGAAATCTGGATTAGGTTGATTTGGAA